ATATCCTACGTCTTGGTTTTAGGCTGTTTCGTTTAGTTTTTCGTTATGTGCGTTAGGCCTCCCGTGCTAAAAAATAGCTCTCTGGAAGGTCAGGGAAGCCACGTCCGGGCGGCGACGTTTTACGAAGGACTTTGCGTGGCCATTCGAGCTCCCAGGACCACAGCATGCGCCATAACTCCCCGGCGAGGCGCCGCGCGCCCAGCGCCGTGCAACGCTGGAACATGCGGCCCCTGACGCCGCGCGTCGAGTGTCTTCGCCACCGAAGCCGGGGCGCGCAAGATCTTTGAATCTGCCCGAAGATAGCCCTCTGCCCTCGATAACCTGCACCGCGCGCCCGTCGCCGCGCCGCCGCGGTCGTCAATCATCTCCCCGAGCGCCAACGCGCAGTCGACGGCCGCAAACTTGCACCCCCGACCTGGTCGTGGACATCGGAGGTTTGCAATGTCGGCATGGTTCGCACCCCCGCCGACCATCGCCTGTAGCGACGATTCCACTGTGAACCTCCAAGACGAATTGCATCTGGCAGTTCCGCGATCATGTTGTTGAGATCGTGCACAGTTGAAGCCACCCGCCGTATATTGTCGCACCATATCAAATTATCGATGCGCGCCCCATGGGTTAGATTCGTTCCCAAACCGCGGCGATCCCAAGAGGTCACGACGTCGCGCAACGGGCACTCAACCATCACGCTGAGCAGATTCGGCGCCTCGGCGCCTCCCTGCCGCACCCCCATGAGACTGGAAACTGATCGGTGGCCTCAAAGGAAGAGGGGGAGGAGGAGGAGAATTCAAACCGCACGCCAACCATGATGATGTTCAGCTCTCGGAAAAAGAGCGCGCACGGGCATCGGCCGCGCGCCCCTCCGCATCACAGCTCGCTCCACGGCCTCGGGCCGAGATCATCAGATGCGAGCCGGATGTCCGAAGATGCAACGCGCGCGCGTCCACCTTGGAACCCGCGTGCACTGCGCGCAGTCGGGCGCTTGACCTAAGGAACCCAAAATAAGGAGCGAGGCCCCTTTTTTTCCATGATGTAAACTTCGATTTCCGATTGGAAACATAAGGAAAACCTGAGGCGAGCTGCGGAACACGCAAGGAACGCGGAGCCCCTCCCCAACGAAAAGGGTTCCTTCTTCAGGGCCCCGGCTGTAAGATTTCACGCGCGACCAAGGTGACGTCAGTAGTCCTGCGGCCGGGCTCGAAGCCGAAGGTGGCAACGCCGGCAGGGCGAAGTCGCGCTCGAAGTCGTGCGCGCGCCGCGTGTTGATGCCACTTCTGACTCGAAACCAATGTCCTCATCCATCTGGAGCTTCTCTCAAACTCGAATGTCCCGCGCGTCCGCCTGGGCAAAGCCCGCGCGCTCCATTGCCCCTATGCCAGGTGGCGTCGTTCTTGGGAAGGACCAGCATGCCCCATCTGGAAAAGAGACCACTAGAACACGCAAGAAACTACGAAACAAAACACTTGTGGCAAGCCGTCCACTCCTGACGATTTTGGTCGTCTCAGGTCCGCCCGGGATTGCAAGATGCGAAATGACGTCAATGGCGGGCAAAGTCGACCGTCAGAAATCTCGTTCTCCCCAGCCGAAGACAGTCGCTGCAAGTGAGGTGCTCGCGCCACCGGTCCGTTGGAACGGCCATGAAAGCGCTCCCTCCTGAAAGCTGCGGCTGCTTCGCGGATCTGCTCCCTGTCGGGCGTCTCCTGATGAAGCGCGCACCGAGAGCGGCGTCGCTCTGGCCCGTGAACGCGGCAGCCTGTGCATCCCCAGCAACCTCCGAGACGCTGATCCTCCCAAGCTGCCTCATGCGCCGCGCATGTTCTCCTCTATCGTCCCCGGCGTGGGAGGCGACATCACGACGTGCATCCCTCACAGCTGTGCTATCAGTCGAAGCCCTCTGTCTCTGACGGCTGGTCGTTGTGGAATCTGATGAGGAATGGGACAAATGATTCAGATGCTCTTCGAACTCTGGGAGGCCAGGACATGGAAGACTACGTGCGTGGACCTGCCGCTGAAATTCAACCGACGCCGCCTCGCCCTCAAGAGCCCATCCTGTCATCGACTGCACGCGACTGTGGCCCCCGCGCACGCTGATTGTTCTGGGGGCACCAAGGACGCGTAGAAGAATACGGTCTGACTTGCCTGACGCAGTGCCGGGTCGCGGATCTGGCGCCGCATGGCCCTCCACCCCAGGCCTGCAGAAAATGTAATATCGCTCTCGGAATTTCGCCTTCGTCGTCGTCGGCCCCACGCCCAGTGAGGGAAAACCGCACTGCGCGCTTCACGTCTGTATCCTGTGGCACTGCACGAGCGCAGGAATATCGGGGAGACGTGAGACTCGGGTACGGGGACTCGGGTAGGCCTGACGGGAGCCATCACAAAAATGACGAAACCCAATCTGACATCTGACGCGGGCTCCCGCTGCAGACATCCCACGAAAACGGGACCGTCAAAATCCAAGACGCGCTCGTCAAAAAAATCGTCAAACCCGAGCTCCGGCCTTCTCGAGTCTTACGTTTCCCCGAGAATAAGCGCATACCGTCGCACGTCGCTCAGGCGCCGAGGACGAAGCACGGCGTCGCAAGCCGGATCTCCGATATAGCATGGAAGTTGCACATCGGTGTATTCGCCAGTGACAGCGTGAAACATAAGATCGGGATCTCGTGAGAGCGTACCGTGAAGATGTGGGCATGCCTTCGAAGGCCTTCTGGGCAAGCTACCAAAATGCTGCAATCACGTCCCACGCTCCCGTATACCACATGCCCCGAATACCCCTTCCCACAAAACGCATCATAACGTGGAACCTCTTGAAGAACAGCGACATCTACACCGAGACGTAGCGGTGCCTTCCCCAATCTGCCCGCTGCGGCTTTCCCCCGGCGGCGGACGTTCCAAAACAAAACTGTGAGCCTGTTAGTGCGCGTGGGCTGCGATCATCCGCGCCGTCTCGAGCGGAAGGCCCGTTGACGAGTCTTAAACTCCTCAGCCGTGGTCGCGAAAGTCGTTCGCACCCAATTATCGCTGAAGTGGGCCTCGGCGTCGTCGTCGATATAGCCTGCTTCCTCTCCGTTGTCCTCGTCGCCATCCCTGATCGCTATGATGACGAAATTGGGCATCCAAATGCACTGGGAGGAAGTATCCCGCTCACCAGAGATTTCCTGCTTGATTGCGTGCTGGAGAAAACCTCGGACACGGCCAAATACAGAATGGCGCTTATGGATCCACGGCTCGCGCTCCACAGGTACCCATATGGAGCGCCCGTTGTAGGCATGGGCCAGGCTATCCATGCAGCCGAAATGTCGCCTCGCACTTCGTCCGCGTAGCCAGGGCTCACTGGAAGATGGATGGTGTCCGACTGGCCACCGCAACTCCATCTGGTCCTTGAATCCTTGAACATGTTCTCCGTCGTAGTGGCCGGCACGTTGGCGACTATCACGGTGAAAAATTGCTCTGCCCCAGTGCGACCAATGCTGGCCGGTTTACGTGACTCCCAGTCGGCAAAGTTCCATAATAAGATGAAGCTCGGAATGAACTTGTCTGATGGATCCCTGATGGTGAACAAGTCGCCTTGGCCTTAGCTTTTGCGTTCAACTTGTGGTCAGTGCCGGTCGCGATGCGCATGGTTTTGCGCACTGGGCCTCCAACGCGACGATCTTCTCCGAATGCTCCTGCACCGTGGTCTTGACCTTCGCAGTGTCGTGCTGGAGTGGTGCCAATTTCGTCTCCATGTCAGCGTTAAGCTTGACAAAGAAGGCCTCCTGAGACATATGTTCGATGGATGCCATGGCTGAGCGACAAGAATAATATGATAAAGAAGAAATAGCATATGGGATAGTACAGTGAAGGGATTGGTTTCGGAAATCGCTCTTGATCACTCCTTGGCACATGTTTCAGCTGTTATTTCAGTCTGTCAGCCAGTCAATCAATCTACTCCCCGAACATCAAATTAGGGCTGCACCCGTAAAAGAGCAAACAGCAAAAAAAACTAACACGACACACAGTACACACCAAACTGCACACATCAAAAAAGCAAACAACGAACAACAATCACCAAATGGCAAACGACAGGCGACAACCAACAACCAACAACCAACAACAAACCACTACCAACAACAACAACAACAGCACCAACAGTCACACCAACAACAACATCAACAACCACATCAACAACATCAACAACACCAGCACAACCGCATCAACTTCAACAACAATACCAACGCCACCACCACCAACAACAACACCAGCAACAACAGCAGCAACAACACCAGCAACAGCAACAGCAACAGCAAACCCAACAACACCACCAACAACAACAGCAACAATCCGCACCCCGGAGCCCCACTTCAGACTCGCACGCAGGGACAATGAATGACAGCTCGGCCCCCTCACTCCGACCTGATGTCCCGCAGGTATCTCAACGCGTTCCGAAGTCCTCTTTCTTCGGGCGGCCGACAACCGAACACGGCCCAGCACGCCTCCACGACAGCTCCCAGACGGCCGAAGACATCTCAGAGAGAGCCCAGACACGGGCCAATAACGGCCCAAGAGGCCCCCGGGAAGGCCCAAAGACGGCCCAAAAGCGCCATACGATGGCCCGAAGAGCCCTGGGACTGGCCAGGAGGCCCCCAACAGGCATCCAGAGGCCGCCAAGAGGTCCTTGGGCCCCCCGAGATTCCCCGAAGAGATCCTCAAGAGGCCCCCAGAAGCCTCCGCCCCAGGCGGCCCCCTGCTCGTCCTCAGCATCCTCCCTCGACTCCCCCCCGCCCCTCTCCCCCCGCCTCCCCCCGAGTGTTCCCCATCGGGTTTCCACAGCGGCTGCGGGTAACTCAGATCCCCAGGTGTTGGCCAAACGCTGGCCCAATGTTTGGCCGCGCAGGCAGCTCCCAAAAGCAGGGGGCGGCGGAACTCCACGGGGAACAGGGCGCCGCCTGACCTCGTCGAGCTTGACCCGTCGCAGCGACGACGACGCGCGCGGACCGCCGCGGGGTCTGCCCCTCCCCCGCCTCGCGCGGCAGGAACGCCAGGGGGCTGTTGTGGATGTCGTGCAGGGGCGGGATACTGTCGTCCTCCAAGGGCAGGACCGGAGGAAGGACGAGGTTTCGATCTCAGGGGACGAGGTCTCGAGTTTCGCAGTTTCCAGACGCTCTGCGAGGTGTCCCGGAGCCCGCTGCTGCGCGCGAGCGCCCCGTGCGAGCACCCCGCGTGAGGCGCCAGGCTCTCGGAGCTGGCCATCGGAGGCCTGCATGGGGCCACTAACCATCGCTCGGACGTCCATTCCCTGTGCTTTTTTTAGGTTTCCTGCGTGGTTTTTTCGCCAGATGATCAAGGATGCTCCTCGATGGTCCTCGCCGAAAGAAAAGTGCACACGTCCGAGCGATGCCAAGGACCGGAGGAACGGAACGGAACCTGCATCGGGCCATGGGCCGAGCAGGAGTACGTAACACCTCAGCTCACCTGCAGCAAGGCATGCAGGGCCTGCGGCGCGTGCGCACGAACACACGGATGCTGTGGAATACACCCCTCTCCCCAAACATGACGAACCAGGGTCGGCTTCGCTCGACCTTTGGCGGCGAGCTTCCAGACACTTCAGTTGTGATCTGATGAGCTTAATGAGATCGGTCTGCAACAGTGTGTGACATTCCGCCAGCCTTCTGGGCGGAGCTGGTTCAGAGGGTGTCCCATGCCGTGGTCCCTCGTCCTCTTCGGCGTGGGGTTCACCAGCTTGCCCCTTCCCTGCTCCCTCCACTGGCTCTGGATGGGAGATGCCGCGAGGTGTCAGAAGGCCTTTGCTGGCCCAAGAAGGCTCCGAGAGTACCTCAGAGGGCCGAGAATGACCTCCAAGATGATTCAAAATAGCTCCCACCATTCTCCAAGAGGACCTAAGACCACACCAAGGCGGCTCCCGAGAAAACCTACGAGACCCCACCGAGGCCCCCGACACGCTCCAAGAGGCCCCCAAGAAAGAGATGCCCCAAAGACGCCACAAGAGGACTCCAAGAAGCTCCCATGAGGCATCCAGAGATACTCCGAGAGGCATACAAAGGAGGCCTGTGGCCGTTCTGCTCGCCCTCCTGCTGGTCCTCCTCCTCCTCCTCCTCCTCCTCCTCCTCATTAGCCTATTTCCGCTCTTCCCTCCTCCCTCATCCCTGCTCCCCGTCCCCCTCCCCATCCTCCTCCTCCTCCGAGTCCTCCTCCATCCTCCCTCTTGGGGGTATCACGGCTTCCCCAACCATTTATTCCACTGCAGGCTCCTCCACAACCCTGGTCAGGGTATCTCGCCTGGGCATCGTTCCTGGATGGGCTGGTGGGGTTGCACGAAGCGTCTAGAACCTGCTGGATGATGTTTGCTACTAGCACGTGGAAGTAAACTGCCAGAGACCACAATTCGCCGGCCCAACGGGCCAGAGGCGTGCTAAGATCTCCGGTAACTGGTTAACAATTCTCTAGTTCGCGCGCGCGGGGCGGCCCCTGGGGGTCCCCGGACGAAAAGTACCCCGACCGACCCCCGGGCGATCCCCGGGAGACTCCCCCAGAGCGCTCCAGGAGCGTTCCATGAGCGCACCAACAGGGCTCCGAGACGTCCCCGAGAGCCCCAAGAAAGGCCAAGAGGCCCCCAAGAGGCCCCCAAGATGGTACACGAGGGGTCCGACATGCCACAAGATCGCTCCAAGACGCCCAAGATAGCCCCCAGACGCCCCAAGAGGCCTCCAAGAGCACTCCCAAGAGGGCCCCCGGAGGCAAAATTCATTGTTTTTCCTTAGGTTTTTCAAAGATTTTGGAGCTTCCACCTTTTCGGCTTCCCGACGCCCCAAGACGGCCCAAGAGGCCCCCAAGCTCGCCCCAAGAGGGCCCAAGAGGCCCCCAAGAGGGCCCCAAGATGGCCCAAGAGGGCTCGAAGACGGCCCAAGAAGCCTCCAAGACGGTCCAAGAGGGCCCCAAGAACGCCCCCAAAGGGGCCCCAGAGAGGGAACACGAAACAACATTTCGAGCCCTCGGCCCTAAGAAGCCCCTACGAGGCCCCAAGAGGCCCCTAAGAGGCCCCAAGAGGCCCCCACGAGGCCCTCAGGAGGCCCCCAAGAGTCCCCCAAGCGGCCCCAGGAGGCCCCCCAAATGCCCCCCCGAGCGCCCCAGGAGTCCCCCAAGCGGCCCCAGGAACCCCCAAAGCGCCGCATTGACACCAGGCCCTCGGGCAAACGGCAGACATGAGACTGTATGGGCCGGCGGAATGAGCGAAGCGATTAATAATCGGACCAATGAGTTCTCGATGTCAAGGTAGACGAAACAGGCGCACAGGACGACGACGGCGGGAGCCAGAGAGAAGACGAGCGGAGCCAGAGGGAAGGGAGAGAAGACGGGGCCAGAAGAAACTCAAAATGTATCAACAATGCTGCAATAAACACTCCCGCCCCAAGTTCTCTCCTCATGAATACCTATACTTACACTCCTGCCCTGCCACTAGCATCAGGTCGGGCATGTCCCCCTACAGGGCGATCTTCGACGAAAGATGAAGCATAACCATAACATACTCCAGAAATGCCCCAAAATATTGAACGAACAAATCGTTCCCAAACTGTCGGGAGCAGCCAAGAGGGGGGTGTCCAAGAGGGGGGGGTTCAAATCATGACCGGCGGCATGTGCGCGGCCCAGCGGGGGGGCCTGGGACCTAATGAAATAAGAGGAGGCGTCATGAAACCTGAGGAAAAATCATGGTCCGCGCCATGAAATCCATCCCCCCCTAGTCATCACCCACCTCTTTTCCGCTCCCGAAACTATTTTGGACCAGTTTTGCACATTCCTCCTGTAGAGGGACGGGCCCGACGTGACGCTGCAGAAAAGAGCCCCCCCCGAAGGAAAAATGACAGCCCCGTGGGGGCCTGCCGCTCCAGCGGCACCCCCCCCGTCGCAGCCCGGGGGAGAGGTCCGCGCACGACCGGGCAGAGCACGGGGCAGCTAACCAGCTCCCCCTCCTCCCCCTCCGCCTCCTCCCCCTCCTCCACCTTCCCTCTCCTACTCCTCCTCCTCCTCCTCCCCCTCCCATCCTCCTCCCCTCCTCCTCCTCCTTCTCCGCCTCCTCCCCCTCCTCCTCCTCCTCCTCCTCTCCTCCTTCCTTCCTCCTCCTCCTCCTTCTCCTCCTCCTCCTCCTCCTCCTCCTCCTCCTCCTCCTCCTCCTCCTCCTCCTCCTCCTCCTCCTCTCCTCCCGGCGCTGACGGGAGCACGAACGCATCCCTATCCCTAAGATTCGCAGGCCAAAAGTCGACGAGCATCTTGGGGATGCGCCCTCAGAAACGGAGGGAGTCCACAAGATCGGCACCGCGACGAGGCGGTGCCAATCATAGGGATAGGAATATGTTCCAGGCTGGTGAGCAACACAGCCACGGCGCGGCAGGACCGCTTTTGGGGCTCGGGAGGAGCTCTGCCTCTCGCGCCGCTCCTCGGGCGCATGCCGTGGAACCTGTGTGCGTGTGTGGCCTGGGCCCGCCGTGTCCAGAAAAAGACGTCTCGCTCACCACGGTGCGCTCCTTCGGAGGGCGTTTCTGGTCATCCGTCGTGCGAAGCGCAGCTGGGATCCATGCGGACAACAGGCGCACGGACGCACCGTCGCAGTGCTGTCAGTTGTGAAGTCCCAGGACCCAACCTCCAAATGTGCACATGCCACAGGACTTGTCAGCAAAGCCTTGCGCGGCGCTTCCTGGTACAACGAAAGCTGGGTGGCTTCGCGTGGAGCGACATGCGCGGCACTTCTCTCGCACTCCTGGCGCCCGCACGATTGCAAGGGACGGGGCGGCAGCTCCAACTGGCCCGCCTGTCTCGGAGATGCCTTCCACTCGGCGCAGCCTCTCTTCCAGACCACAGCTGCCTGTGCCAGCTACTGTTGGACGTTGGAGCAGAGCATCTATCCCCACTGGTCGCCACGACTCAGGAGCTCCAAACGACACAACGGAGCCACGTCTTCCAAGCTGTTAGGCTGGCAAAGTGCTCGCGGGGTCCTTCGCGAAAGGCCAGTCGCCCTCCTGCGGGGACGCGAGCGGGATGTATCCAGCAAGGGAGTGAGGGAGAGTTCCAGACAGCGGAGAGCATTGGGGGACCGCAGCGCAGACTTGCGCGGGTGGAACAACCAAAAATATCCATGAAAGACAATTCCGCACTACTGAATATCAACGCACGCATCCATTCACCAGACCCGTGTATGTTGAACATGTAAATGGTCAGAACAAATAAGCCAACAAGCTGGTGCATATTGAAAGATGAACGGCTGGGTTTGCAACTGCTCCTTCCCAATCATGCTGGCGGACATCATCTGCCGGTCGGGGGCACTGCAATTGCCGCTTCTCCTCCACCTCCTACCCATCGTGTTCCTCCTACTCCTCTCCTCATGCTTTGCCGCGCCCCAACACCTGTTCGACTTTCCAGTCCGTCATTCCCCCTCCTCTCGCCCCTGCTCGTCGTCTTCTCCGCCGCATGGAAGGAGCAAGCGGATGCGCAGAACGAGTAGGAGTACAGGGAGACGGGAAGGGCGGCCGAGAGATCTTGTGCAAGGCTGGGGCCGACGCTCAGTCTGGGTGGATGCGCCGCTGGGCGAACTCGACGCGAGGCTGGCGCAACCTCCTCCTTTTCCTCATTCCTCCTGGTCCTCCTGATCCTCGTTCCTCCATCTGCTCCTCCTCGTCCGCCTTTCCCTCCTCCTCCTCCTCCTCCTCCTCCTCCTCCTCCTCATCTGTCCGTCTACGTGTCGGGTTGCTCCCAACTTGTCCGCTTTGAGGTGGATGAGGGTTGCGCCACCGATACACCTGCCACTTGCGCTAGCGCGTGCTCATACTCGGCACACTGCAGAGCACTGGCGAGGAAGAGGAACAGAAGGCATGAACCGCTGGGGCCCCCAGTGGGCTGCTCAAGCTGGGCTCGGAGACCACTGCGGTGCAGCCACCCGTCACCAGGCAGGCACCCTGCGGCCAAGCCTCCTCCTCCTCCTCCTCCCTATCCACAGGACACTCACGAAGGACGCAGGCGCCCAGCCATGTACCCGAATTCTGCCCGCGCAGTCCGCGAGACCAGCCTCGCGATCAGAACGCCTGCGCAGTGCGGACTTACGAAAACAGCGTGGACTCATGTACGTGTACGTTCAAGTCGGGCGTGTCCCCCTACAGGGGGATTTTCGACGAAAAATAGAAGATATCCCAAGAATAGTCAAAAAATTCGCCGGCCCAACGGGCCAAAGGCGTGCTAAGATCTCCGGTAACTACTTAACAATATTTCTAATTCCCGCGCGCGGGGCGGCCCCTGGGGGGCCCCGGACGAAACGTACCCCGGCCGATCTCCGGCTGACCCCCGGGCGATCCCCAGGGGGGAGGCTATTTTTCGCCACCCCTCACGAGGATCGTGGCCTCCGAAGGGGGGGGGGGGCTGCCAACGACTACCCCCCCTCCCGCCCCAAGGCGCCCCCAAGAGCCCCCCAAGAGGCCCCAGGGGAGCCCAATACGCCGCCAAGGAGCCCCAAGACGCTCCCAAGAAGCCCCCAAGAAGCCCCCAAGACGGCCCCAAGAGGCCCCAAATAGCGCTCCAGGGCCGGCGGAATGAGCGAAGCGATTAAATAATCCAAAAATAGTCCGGGGACTACTTTTGGAGTTTTTTTTGTTTTCTTACCTTTTGGGGTATTTGTGAGGTATTGTTTATTTTCGTCGAAAATCCCTCTGTAGGGGGACAGGCCCGACCGAAGTGTACGTCCTTCTTCCCTCCTGCAGAGGGTCCTCCTGGTGGTCTGGCACCCCCCCCTCCCTCGAGGCACACACACACACGCACACACACACACATGCAGGGCTCGGGGACCCCCTCGCTGGAGGTGCCTCCCCCCGTGATGGTGGCGGGCGATTAGGGGCGCGCCAGGAGCAGCGCAGAGAATTGCTGGTGGGGGGCGCTCCGGGAACGACGACAAACGAAGGAGAAAGGACAAGGGGGAGGGGAGGGGGAAGTCTTCTTAGAAGGAGGCTGTTGCTTAGACAGCGCTGGCCTTACATCTTCAGAGAAGGTCCGCGCCTTCTGAGAAGCAGGGGTGCTCCTAAGATTATGCTGCTCCCATCGCACTTAAGGGCCACATCCCAGAAACCAGTTCGAGCATCCCGAACTGTATCGAAACCGTGTCGAACGAGTATCGCCTCCCAGGGCCCGACACGTGAAAACCCACCAGTTTTGATACCTTCTGGGGGCTCGGAATTCCTTCTGGTGATCAAGGCTAAAGCAGGTTGGAACATCATAATCCTACGACGCCTTCCCCCCCCATCATCCCTCTCTGCGCGTGGCCGACACACGAGTGGGGAGGGGACGGGACCAGGACAGCATCGGAACACCACCCTCCGGGGGTCACTGGAAGACGCCTCGGGCGCCGCGGCCACTCCAAAACGATACGCAGAACGCCCGGGAAAAACCTAACCCCTCCTCCTCCTCCTCCTCCTCCTCCTCCTCCTCCTCTTCTTCCGCCTCCACCTCCGCCTCCGCCTCCTCCGCCTCCACCTCCGCCTCCGCCTCCTCCGCCTCCGACTTCGCCTGCGCCCCCGCCTCCGCCCCTGCCTCCGTCTCCACCTCCGCCTGCGCCTGCGCCTGCGCCTGCGCCTCCGCCTCCGCCTCCGCCTCTGCCTCCGCCTCCGCCTCCACCTCCTCCTCCTCCTCCTCCTCCTCCTCCTCCTCCTCCTCCTCCTCCTCCTTCTCGTCGTCATCATCAGCACCATCACCATCACCATCACCATCACCACACCCACCACCACCACCACCACCACCACCATCATCATCATCATCTCATCATCATCATCATCATCATCATCCATCATCATCATCATCATCATCATCATCATCATCATCATCATCATCATCATCATCATCATCATCATCACCACCACCACCACCAGCAGCAGCAGCAGCATTATCATCATCATCATCGTCATCATCATCGTCATCATCATCAGCAGCATCATCATCATCATCAGCATACTCATCATCATAACCATCAACATCATCATACCCACCATCATCATCAGCAGCACCATCATCATGTCAGCATCATTACATAATAATTCATCATCATCGTCATCAGCGTCAGCATTGTCATCGTCATAACCATAATCATAAGCATAATCAGCATCATCATCATCTTCATCATCAGTATCATCATCATCTTCATCGTCATCATCATCATCATCACAATCGTCATCGTCATCGTCATCGTCATCGTCATCGTCATCGTCATCATCATCATCATCATCATCATCATCATCGGCACGCGGCTGATCCTCCTCCTCCTCCTGCCTTACCCCGTTCCAACCCAGCCCGAACAGGCGAAGCGGATCGGGGGATGGGGGACCGCCGCGATGCCGCCTGGGCAAGAGGGGCCCTCTCGGGTGGCGTGGCCCGCCCGGAGCCCCGCAATGAGATCCACCCTCAGAACAAGCATCCCGACAAGCGACGCCATTTGGAACATGCACCCCCAAGAAAGGAGTCCAACAGGGCAGGGCTGCTTGGCAACCGACCAGGGCCGTCGAGCAAACGCCGATTCTCGGAGTCGGGGTGGTCTTTCCTCCCTTGAACCTCGCCCCAAAGACGAAGGACCTTCAGAGAAGATCGATGGGGGGCTGCCAGCAGGCGCAGGCGGCTACTCTCACGACGTCGGCCACGGCCGCCTCCTCCCCGAACCCTGTCCTTCGCCGCATCGTCCTGCTCCTTCTCCTCGGCCTGCACGTTCTCTCCCGCGCAATTCCTCAAACCTCAGATGTGTCTCCCTTCCCCTATGTGTTTTATGTTCCCTCCTCACTTCCCAGAATCATCATCATCATCATCATCATCAGCATCAGCATCCTCATCATCAACAGCATCATCAACATCAACATCATCATCCCCATCATCAACATCACCATCATCATCAACATCATCATCAACATCAACAACAACATCAGCATGGTCAACATCATCAACATCATCATCAACATCACCATCATCATAATCCGGCATCCTTCATCCTCCTGCGCCCGCCATCTCCCTCCCTCAGTTTCGGTTGCATCCGACGCACGCGATTCAGCAACGAATGCAGGCGTGGCGCGTGATCCGCAAGCGGCAGTGCTGCTGCGTCCCCTCGCTTCCCTCCTTCATCATGAGTCTTCCCCCCCCTCGACTCCCCCTTCGAAAGGAGCGCTGTCAGCTGCATCGACCGATGGAGACACAAAACAACCAACGGCGATGGTATGCAAGCCCAGACTGGCAGCACACACAACGAATACGACGGCCTGGTATGCTAGCGAACTCAACATGTGAGTACAAAGCCCGCAGAATACAACTCAACAAAAGCAACGACTCAACCAAACCTCGCAAATAGGCGTGAAGTCGCACCACCCCGTCCGAGCAGAGATGAACCATGCCATTGTCAACGCTGGCCTTCATGACAAGTAACTCAGAGCAGCTCGCAAAATCAACAGTATGGCAGTAGCTGCCACTCTATGCCCAAAACCACCAAGGGCACGGCAACGCCTGGTGGATGCGCTCCTCGCGCAGCAGACGCTCCTGAGCGTTCTCGGCCCAATCCCCAACATATGCTGCACCATGTTATGACTGATGTTTGCCTTCCCTTCGATATCATACAATACATGATGTTGGCTTGACAGAGTCAAGCGAATCCTTGTCAACCCATCCCTGAACCAACAAGTATCGTGCCCTCTCCGATCTATGACAACCGAAATCGTGCGTGCGTACAGGCGAACAGGCGGAGTAGGTCACCTAAGAATGTGGCATCGCCCCCTGGTATCACACTTACGCTTCAAGTTCTATCAGCTTAGACCATACACGAATGATGACTACCACCTCATACATGCGTAGTGCGCGTACTACTGAATGGTGGATATGATGTGCCTGGCTCTCCCCGTCTTTTCTGATGGTGTTGCCGGATCCATTACACCGCTGCGGAACAATACGTAGATCACGCATTCAGCCCAAACGAAGAGTCCGAAACTCAAATAAAAAATTGCGTCCCAAAGCGCTGTTGTGATTTGATGGTGCCCCCACCACCCCCCCGCCCCCCCAGAAACAAAAAACAAAAAAAAAAAACTGGTGGGGATTCAAGTTCCTTGCGTTCGCGATGTTTGAACTGATTCCTGATGCATGTGTCAAATATAGAATACCTGTTGCGGCTTTGCAATCGGATTACCCCCCCTTCTAGGCGATGCACGCAGTGATGTTCATTGTGTGACCTAGTAATAGGATCATCTTGTCTGGGTCTACAATCGGGTTGGTTGTGCAAGACATTTGCACACAACTCTCTAATCTAAAACCGGATGTGTATCTATCACACTATTGTAGGGCATCCGTGACAGCGAGAACACAGAACAACCCGCACCGCAAGACACAATGAGACAACGCAGAACAAAAAAACACGCGGGAACGTTGGGAAGCACAGTCGCCTCGAGGGTGGGTGCAAAGATGGAATGCGCTCCTGCCCTGTCGCGTATACCCCCCGTATTGTCGGGGATGGACAGACCTCCCTTTAGTAAAACGTGGTTTAGTGAAAACGACCTCGGGCCAAAACCTGGCGGGCGCAAGCCTGGAAAATGACGGCCGCGGCGCCCTCTCGAGAACCGAAAACGGACAATTCACTAATCGACGTGTCAGGGTAGGAGGTCTGTCCACCCCCGATATTGGGTGTTGCGACAAGTGCCCCAGGCCAAACGTGCCCTCAGCTGCTCGCGCTACGCTGAGAGCCCCTTGGCCTCGTGAGGGGGGGCTGTGGAGGCCATATGGGCCTCCCTAGAAAAAAGCTGGGGGCACACTGGGCCAGGCACGACTCCGGCAGCACCCGGTCCCACGCGCCAGTACACCGAAAGAGAGGCCGGGGGCTCCTTCCAGCCAGCGTGGTCCACATTGAGCGGCATGGCCGCTGCGACCCCCCTGCCCTATCCCTCCCCCTCGTGTAGGTGGAACTGGCCCATGGCCCTTGTGCCAGGGATGGAGAGGACCGAGGGGCTCCGGCGGAGGAGAGAGAGGAGGGGGAGGAAGAGGGCACGGAGACGGAGAAGATGACGACGAGAAGCAGCAGCAGCGCCCACGGTCCTTTCCAAGGAGAAGGAGGAGGAGGAGGAGGAGGAGGAGAAGGAGGAGGAGGAGGGAGAGAAGGAGGAGAGGAGGGAGCAGAAGAACTGGGGTGTGCTGCACGGGCCCGCGGGCGCCCGGACTGGTCGGACCTCTTCCGTCGCACGCCCGGCTTGGGAGCTGCCCGCGGTGCTCTTCCGAGGCGATGGTGGCAGGCAGTGCGCTTGGGCCTCCCAGGGCGGGGTCGGCCACGTGGGGCGTCGCACGGGAGGAGAAGGAGGAGGAGGAGGAAGAGGAGGAGGAGGAGGAGGAGGAGCAGGAGGAGCAGGAGGAGGGGAAAGGGGAGGGGGATAGTGGGAGGAGGGGAGGAGGAGGAGGAGGAGGAGGAGGAGGAGGAGGAGGATGAGGCTCTCGCGCCCAGGTGGGTGGTGCCTCTCAGATATCACGCCGGTTTTCCTGGAGCCACGTGCCTCTTTCCGAGGCCTCGTGACCATCGCGACGGGCCCCTCCAGAGGGGGTGGGGGCTCGGCCTGGGGTGTTACATGGGCCCGCTCGCGCCAAGATGGGTCGGGATTCTCCGGTCGATTCCATGTTCTCGGGAAGACAGGTCATCCCCAACCATCCTGTGGTGTCCAGTCCACGTTATGAATCTGCGTCCATCCTCCTTTTTTCTTCCTCCAATCCTCCTCCCATCCTCGACTACGACCTCCGAATGTACTGATCCTCCTCATCATCCTCATCGTCATCGTCATCGTCGTCATCATCACGATCATCCTCATCCTCATCCTCATCATCAGCATCAGCATCAGCATCAGCATCATCATCAGCATCAGCATTACCATCATCATCACCATCATCATCATCATCATCATTATCATCATCATCATGATCCTGATCATCATCAGCATCCATATCCTCATCCTCCTCCCCCTCCTACTCATCCCATACTTGGGCCCTCAGCACCTGCAGTGGCTGGGCTGCATATGTGATCAATCCAAAAGTTGTGTGTTCGCTGTCGTCAGGCAGCGCTTGATCAGAACTGGCCCTGAGGCATATGCGGTTTTGTCATGTGGGATGAGCTCGCCACCTGGTCCTGACCATCCATCATCATAGTCGGAGCCGAGCCAACGGGAATCTGAAACATTACTTGGTCTGACCATTTTGCAAGTTTGTGAATCGTCTGCATCCTACGTTTCATCGCTGCGTGTCCCTAACGATGTGGCGGGCAGTGGATGACTATGAACGTGATACCAAGCCGCGCGAGTACAATCATTGCTGCTCCACTTCCCCTTGGGCATGACACTGGAGAACCCCCTAACAAGTCTGACGTTGGTCGGTTCCACGAAAAAATGTTTGAACATGTGTGTTATCCCCGCGGAACTGTTGGACCCAATGCCAATGTCCCCAATGAATGGCCCAATGATGTCTGCATTGTGTACTGCGCTGTGTCTGATTGTCAAAATGCACGCGCACGTGCAGCATCTCTTTGCCCACGTGCTCCCCACGTCCCGAGCGGACCAAGAACATGAGAGTGCATGTCGCCCCTTGTAAACGCCTCTTGCAGAAACTACAGAAAGGGGCCCATCTCTTGAAACGAACACCTGCCGTCATCTGGCGGACACACAAGCATGTAGGGTGAGAGCTGGCTGGTGTAAGGGATCCCTTGGGCATTCGGGGGTTTCGTCACCATGGTTATGGATATCATCGCCATCATCATCATCCACATCATAATTGCCATCGTCATCATCAGCATCGTCATCGTCACCATTATCATAGTCATAATGAACATCACCACCACCAACAACACCATCATCAACATCAAATCATCGTCATCATCGCCATCATTACCATCAGACAGATCGCATTCTGGGGGGAGGGGTCGAACTGGGAGGGCCCCCCCCGCCCCCCGACATGCAAGGGGGGGGATGGGGGGGCCCGAGCCGGAGGTGGGGGCCTCAAACCGGCGGGGGGGGGGGGCATCGAACCGCCCCCCCCCCCCATCCCCTCCTGAGTTGCACGGAGGGGGGGTTCGACCCCCCCACCCCCCTTGAGCAGAGGGAAGGGCCATGCCCCGCGTAGTACTCACGCTCTGCTCGCCCGCCTCCGTCGCATCGTCTCCCCTGCGGCACTTGTAATGAACCGAACTTTCTACACCGATGCTTGTTTTCCTGGTTCCGCATTGAGATTCACACAGAAAGTCTGATACTGGTGCGTAGTGTGTATATTTTCTGTTGCTTCCCTGGGAAAGCGGGAAAAAATATACACCACGCCACCCCGACGTCGTCCCCGACCCTCGAAAAAGTCTTGGGTTGAAAAGCCGCCCGCCACTGGCAATGAATATGTTCCAGTTCCCGAACTTGCGCCAACATCGCCAGGCTGTTCGTTCAGAGCCCCAGGTTCGTCGCGATATAGATGGCGAGGCACGTGGCCCCCCCCAAGGCGGGGGGCAACCCGGGTGGCGCACCGTGTCCGCGGGCGCCCCCGATCGTCGGGGCACCATGGGCAGGACACGACTGTTGACACCTCGGACGGAGGAGGAGGCAAAGAGCAGGAGAAGGAGGAGGAAGAGGAGGAGGAGGAGGAGGGGAAGGAGGAGGGGGAGGAGGACGGGAAAAAGGAGGAGGAAGAGGAGGAGGAGGAGGAGGAGGAGGAGGGGGAGAAGGGGGAGGAGGAAACAGACTTGGCGGATCCCAGGTGCAAGCCCGGCCGCGCTCAGCACTCATCCTTCATGTGGGGAAGCCACAAACATGTGGAGGCCGAAGGCGAGGATGACAATGACGAAGTGCACCCGCGCGAATGCCCCCCGCCGTGCGTAATAAAGCGTGCCACTCCAGCGACGCTCCCATGGTATGTGGCGAGCTCACGCTTCTTGCAACCACAGCAAGAGAAGAAATTGGTACTGCACACAACGTGAAACACCCAACTGAAATGCTGTACCAAAGCCGCGGGCCTCGACCCTCCCGCTCTATCGCCGCGTAGTCATAACGCGAACGTGCATAATAAAAAACACTGCCAGCGCCAGCACGACAACGAAAAAGAGCCAGATGCGACTGACACGCAGAACGCCTAATTAGGCCGTAGGCCATCTACACCGCGACAAACACACTGGACTCCACCAGCCGCCGATAAGGCACAAGGGCACGCCAGGCCCTGGGCGAGGGGAATGCTAGCAGCCACGGCCCATCCCTCGAGCCTTGCATAAAAATTGCACTGAGCCAATCCCACCAGAAAACCGACTGAACAAAGACAACCCAGTATAGACATGGCCCAGCCCCGCAAAGTAACAAAAACGCATCGAAAACGGTACCATCATCAGGATCACACCATGCACTGGCGCACCCAGCAGCCTGCCAACCAAGAAGTACAGCTCCACGAACACGAGGACAACGACCTGGAAAACGAAAACCTGCAGCATGCACGCGAAGTGGGAGGCGTACGAATTCAACCCGGCGTTGCCGGGAGCACCTGGACCTCGGCAGGAAGCGGCACACCACACCACATAAAGCCCCGGGACGACGGCCAAGCGGCGCTGCGGGGGCCTGCTCGAACCGACGTGGCTTGAGGGGTAGAAGGAAAAGGAGGAGGAGGATGGGTGGGCGCAGCTTCAAAGGAAGCCCTGGCCGCCGTCAACGGAAGCGAAGACGACGGCCAGGGCCGCCAGAAGTTCCTCGCTCGGTGAGTCCCTCGCCGCCGCGAGCGCGGCGCAGCCGGACGTGGAGCCCCCAGACAGAAGCCCAGACAGGCTTCCGCACCGACCGCAGCCCTCCGACGGAGGACCAAGGCCAGGCGGAGTCCACCCCCGCGGGGACAAAAACGGGCAACCCCCAGCAGCGGCGGCCGCCCCCACCCCACGGGGACGCAGGTTCGCACACCAAGTGCGAGCCCGTTCCCAAGCGGCCAGCCCCCAAACCGACGCCGGGGGCCGCCGCGCCAAGATTTTAGAGGCGAAACCAGCGGGCCCGAGCCGTCCTCAGCGCTTGCGCGGGCGGCGCGCGCGGCGCTGCTCAGGGCGGGCGGCTTGGAGCGCCCGGAGTTCAGCCTCCATCTTGACCACCTTTGTCGGTGACGGCGGTCTGGACGAACTGCCGCTGGAGGATCACCAGCCGTCGCCGTCCACCAGCGTGGCCACGCTCGTCGAAGACGTCCTGGTCCTCGCCACCGCCGCTAGGGTTGGACCTCGCAACCACCGCCTTCAGCCAGTCGGTGGCCATGGAGCTTGGGCCGCACTGGATGTCAGGTTCCATCCGCACCCCAAGCTGCTCCGCCACTGGCTTCGGCGAGAAGTGACCGTTCGGCGCGCGCCCTTGTCCTACAGCCATCTGTGACCGCGAGGCAGCCAGGCATGGCTCCGAGCTTCCCCACGAGGGAGATCTGCTTGGGGAATTGCCGGGGCCCGTCCGCACCCCGATTGCCGGGACCTCTCGAGTCGATCGCGTAATCCTTCGGAGACGCGCGTCTCTGATCACAGCCGTGTGATCATCGTGCCGTGTGAGGCATGGCAGCTGGGTCGCCCAGGAGGGGCCCCCCAAAGGGAGCAGACCACAATGATATCACTGGCCCGCTCGCGCCAAATTTCTGGCCTTCCCAACTAGAATTGCCACCGGTGGTAAACACACACACGCACACACATACACACATATATATATATATATATATATATATATATATATATATATATGTATTTTCATGGTCCGGTACCGATCGCGATGTAGCCAGCGATGTAGCCAATATGGCACTTGGGCCTCCCCCCTGCCAAACGGGATCCGATAAATGAGTTGCCACAGGCCCTTCCGAAACCAACGTGGGGACTTCTAAAATGTATGGCCCCCCCCCTCACACCTCG